ATGCAAAGTATTTTGGGGTTATATCTTTCAGATTTTCCCCCCAAACTGTAAGGAGTTAAGAAGAAAAGATTTGTCTGCTTCCTTGCTTATTTCCTTAGACCAGGACAGAGGCTATGCACGGCCTTGCTGGACTATAAGCTCTTCAAAGGCAGAGTCATCTGTCTTTCAGAATACAGAGCCCAGTACGTGGAGACAATTGCTATATTCTGTGGGGATGTCTTGGGGTCCGTTTCCCCTACCCTTGGACTTTGCTGGGGAGCTTGGTTTGTGTTCTCTCCTCACCCACTCAAAGCCCTCATAACCAAAAGCCTCTCAGCAGCAGGGATTCTGACCATAACTGTATGACCACCTCACTCCCACCCCGAAGCCTCACTCCAGGTTCAGGGTCTCTGGAAAAGAACCACACAAGCAACCTAAGAACGGACACATGCGCGGGTGGGACTAGCAATTCACAGCAGCACTTCCCTCAACCAGGAGTTTAGTTCATGTCGGATGTTGTACCAGTCGCCTTAACCTTTTATTCCTGTGAAGATTAAAAGCTTTGTACTTGTATTTTTAGAAGAAAAATACAAAGTACCTTGCCTAAAACAACATAGCTAGCAAGTCACAGAGCCAATTTTCAACCTCCATTGGCGTGGTTCCAATATTGCCAGGATTAGATGCACTTCCAGAGCTGCCAGCAGCCTTACCCCAAAGCATATTTGGGGACTCATGGACCTGCGGGGGGATGGAGGAGACAGCAGCACACTTAGGAAGGCTTTCCTAGGGCGCAGAGGGTGCTTTCCACCGCGTTCCCACAGCCTCTGTCTTCCTCTCTCATCTCTAACTTTCCTTAAAGCCCTGGATGCGTTTATGCCACGTGCATTTTAGGATCAGTTTCATGAAACAGAACAAGTTGTGGAAAAGCTGCCATGCAGTTCCACATGGGGGATGGCAGGAGTTAGATAAGAACTAACAGAAAAAAAAAATGAAAATACCATTTGAGTATTCACCCTATTTATTGGCATTCACACTGGCATCATCTTGACTACCATGTACCTGGAGCAGCCCAGGAAATTCCAATCTGGAGCCACAGTAAGGGCAAAGCATACTCAGCCTGACTGCAGTTGTGTGCTCAAGCTGGGCTCAGGCTGAAGAGTTCCTGCACTGCCAAGTCCTCCCTGGAAACACAGTATGACTGCAGTGTCACTAAGCTAACAGATGCAAAAGCCTGTTGTAGCCTATGGGACCACAGAGGAGTTCTGTGAGGTCATGGGACCACATCAAATTACTTAAACAGCAACAATCCATCACTTTTGCTAAATTAAAGCACAGAGAAACATTAGCTCAAGTCGGAGGACTGGCTGTGGCACACAGAAGCCCATTGGGAGAGACCCAATCCATGTGCTTTCTTTTCATTCAAATGGTAAAAATGCAATTGAAGAGTCAGTCCACTGCTGACTGTCTCACCGTGCCTTTCCAACCTGGAGAGTGGTATGCAAGAGCCACTGTCTTCCTGCTCTCAGCCAGCCCTGAGAAACCTCCTGCTCAGTCTCTCTGTCCTGCCTTTGACCCAGTAGCCAAGTTTCAAATGCATCCAGGATATGTCCATGGAAAGCAATGCTGGCTTTAACCACTACCACAGTAGATCAGATTCATTGTCTGGCTGCAGGAGCTCAGTCATTTCTCATAGACTGATCGACCCGAGGTACTTTGGCATTGTATTTCCAGATCATCTGATACAACCAAGCAGGTGCACATCATGCCTTCTAAAGAACAACAACAACAACAATAACCAACCAACCAATCAAACAACCAAACAAAATTCTCTCCCTAGAGCTGCAAAGGAATAGGGACCAGAGGGGAAGTGCAGAGGGGAAGTGCAGGATGTCAGAATGCTACACACCCTGTTGTTCTCTCAGGAGGAGATGGTCGCACAGTGGCACCAAAGGCCAGAATGGCAATGATTTTCTACCACCTGACTGCTCACCAGCTGTCCTCCTGGCACCAGATGTAGACTCTCCATTTGTGATAACTCAAAAAGTTAATAAGAGAAGAGCCGCACAGTCATCAAAATCAACCTCTTTTCAGTCTGTAGTTGGAAGAACCAAAGCCTGGAGGGTGAATACTACTCCACTACAGGACAGCAGTGGCACATGCAGTTGAGTCCCCAGCCCACTGGCCCGATCACCCATGATGCTGTGGTCCCGGGAAAACATGGACAGACAGTCGTTTTCCAAAGGAAGGAGACAGAGCTATAGCAATCGCAGGCGTACCTTGGGCCAGGGTCTTGGTCTCATTCAGCTCCAGGTGGACATGTCGTATGAGTGCAGGCAGGGTGACTGACTCCTCTGTGCTCAGTGTCCTCATTCATAAAGCGGAAATAGAAATAGTGGACACACCATAGCATTGTTTGGACGATTAAGTTAAAATGTTTAGTACTTAGAGAGATATTCACACCTAGACGGCACGATGTAAATGTATTGTCATCATCTTTGGCAAGCTGCGCAGGCTAAATGACTTAGTGGACACTTATAGATAAGAGGAGCTCCCGCTCTTCGAAGCACTCAGTAGAAGCTGAAAAGCCCTCCACATGATTAGCACTGAACATCTTCCTCGCACTACCTGGAGCTCTCACTTCCCCGTGAGTCTGCTTCCTCCTTGCTCCATGCCTCGTTTCACGTCTCACTTTCCTCGTGTATTTTTCTTGTTCTTTCCTGTTTTTACCTGTATCCAGCCTCATGTCAATAGCATTTCATTCACAGAAATGCTAAGTCCACTAGCAGCACCTATAATAAATAATTTCTATGTTAGAGATCTTTACCTTTCCAGTGTAGAACACAGCATTCAATTATTTCTCAAGTTAATACCAAAATAACAGACCAGATAATCTATATTCACACATGGACATATATACATGGCTGGGTGTACAGCTCCATACACACATGCCTTCATATCTCCATGAATTCTACATCCGTGGGTCTGTCCAATTGTGGATAGAAAATCTTGTTCCTATATGGAGTATCTAGACCCTATTTATCTTAGCATCTTTCCCTAAGCATTACCATGTGACAATTTTTTACAAAGCATTTATATTTTATTAGGTAATATAAGTCATGTAGAGATGCTTTAAAAACACAGGAGGATGTAAGTGTTCTATGCAAATGTTATACCATTTTATATAAGGGACTTGAGGCTCTGGATTTTTGTATCTGGAGAGAGCCCAGAAACCAGTGCTCCCTGCAGATCATCAGGTATGATACTATATATGCATACATATATGAAAAAATGTGTCATCCTTACAAATCTCCTTTGCTCATTTCCTTGTAAACTTATACTATTCATCCTTTGTAGAACACAACATTAAAATTAACTTGTGCTTCAACTTGAGCATTTTCCAACCTAGTATATTTTCCTAGCCAGTATGATTCCATAGAATGCATTTCTAAACTGCTACACACCCCAGAATTAGGCTAATTTCCACAAATGCATGTAGATCCTCCATGGGACTTAGAAATATGCTAGAACCTGAACCCTACTCTTGTTCATGAACACTTTAGAGCAAAAATGGAGAGAAAGATAAGCCACACATGAAACTACCAAGTAAGTACGACATTGGTCTACAGGAGCATTACATATATTCATAGTCAGAGGAAAATACATATATATGTTGAAATCCTTGAGGCAGGGACAGCTGCATGCTCCTTGCTGAAGGGAGACACCTGAATTTTGCAAATGAAAGGTGTACTCCAGCCGCTTCTCAGGCAAGACATTGATGCATGCCTTTTCATACACTTCACAGCAAGCCACATGACTTGAGTCTAATCCAAGCAAACCCTGTACTGTCTCAACATTCTATATCTTTATTTTCTAGTAGGCCAACCTGCTTCTCAATGAGGAAGCTCAAGGCCTAGCTCTGCACCCCTGTCCTTTGCCATTGGTTTTACAAGATTGTCTATCCATGGATTTTAATCCTTAGACAGCATACAGTTTTTTTGTTCCTCAGCATACATTCTGCTTTTGAGCTCCTAGTCTTGCTCATAACCCCAGGTACTTGATAATAGAGGTGCTGCAGGAACACAGAAGCAGAGTTAGGTCCCTGTCAGCCCTGAGCCTTTGTAGACTAGGACATTTGCAGCTCACAGGGTCTGTCTTCCCAGGAGACAGTGAGAACAAAGAAAAAAGAGCACCCAGTTTTTGTGGTCTCATTTCCTGCTGGGCCATGAATGGTTTATAAGGAATAAGGGGAAGAGACCAGAGGGAGAGAAGCAGCAGGAAAGAAATAAAGGGAGAATTCCTTGGGGCTGACCCATCAGGGTTATCACTTCCAGGGATGCTGGGTCTCTTTCTTTGCCATGGGAGAGGCAGCACTGCAGGCTGGACAGACCCAGGCACAGAACCTGCAACCTCATGGGCAAGTAGTCACCATTTCCCAGGAGCTGTTCCGGACCCTCCACTACCCCTAAATCATACACAGCCCCGATAAAAGGTCTGCCATGCACACTCCCAATCACCTGTTGCACACAAAATTTCTCCATCCCTCTCCACTTCCACCCACTCTCATCGCCTTCTCGTCCACCTGGACCCTTTCATGTCCCATGCCTGCCTTTCTACTGCTTACCTAGGTTCTACTGGACTAGGTAGAGCCCCCATGACAGGGGATGATTACAAGCACAGAAAGGGCCTCAGGTTGACCTCACTGTGCGTCCTGACTGGCTCTGTCCGGTGGGCACACCAGCCTAAATAACTGCCCTCAGTTCTACACATTTATCCTTTTAAGCTTTTGCCATTTAGAGCAGGTGGAGCTGGTCCAGGTATCCAAATGCCTTGAGCCCTTTGAGTTTCCAGATCCTCCCAAAGGGCACTTCTCACTCCTACAGACACAGGAGGGTCAGCGTGGAGGGGGTGGAACTTGGGGGAATGCTCCCAGAGCGGCATGCCTGTGCACTTGCTTGGCCGGGGATGTGTGTGGCGTCCGGCGGGTACATGCTAATGGCTCTGTCTCTCTTTCCCCTACACAGGGCCTGGAGCAGTCATTGATGGTGTAAACTCGGCCTCTAGAGCGCTGGCTTGTCTCTGGCTCTCAGGGACCCTCTTTGCTCACTTCTTCATCAAGTTTTGATAAGAAACCATAGGTCCTCTGAGCAACGTCTGCTTCTCCATATTACAGACTTTAATCTACACAGCGGAGGGCAAACCAGTTTGGGCTTCTTTTTGTTTGTTTCTGTTCTCCTTCTCAATTTTTTTGTGGGATATTTTGATTTGAGATTTTTTTTCCAACTGGAATGAGTGGGGTTGGGGGGAGGGGTGGGCAGGGTTCTACCATGTGTAGGATAATCATTCATTGATGTGTCCAAAAATGGAATCTGCTCCTGCTACACTGGCCCTTCCTTTGCCTCTACTACTCTGCTCATTATCATTATCAGCAATACACACACACACACACACACACACACACACACACACCCCAAACCATAATTTCCATATGGGCAGAAAAATATGTTTCATGCTGAACACCCTGAAAACACAAATTCCTCATACTGTAGTACACAGCAAGAGTCACACCCATACACTCTATGTTCTGTGTCTTTTAAGCTTTTGGTTGTTTCCCTGGATAGAATGTACATATCTTCCCTCCCATGTTTATTACCTAATTTCATGAGGGTCCACATATCTTGTAGTTACCTCACCACACTCTATGTGCGCACATATCTAAACTCTTCCCCTCTTCTCTAGCTGCTCTACTATTCATTTCTTCCACTGACTGTGGGGATTAGAGGCTTGGGCTATGCATGAAACCCAAAACTAAAAATTTAGAAAAAAAGCAAAACAAAACAGGAGAAGTATATTAAGAACAGAACTTCTCTTTAAAAAAATGCTGGGTGACTCATAAAAATGATCAATAGATGGCTGGATATTTAGGTTTCTTCATGCTATCTATCAACATAATCATGTGCTTACCCATCGACCCAATTGGCTGTTTTATTTCTATATCCAATTATCCACCCACCTGTCTTTCTCCTTAACAATCTCTTTATCAATCTATCAACATAATTATCTAACGTTTCTTTTTATTTCTCTCCTTGCTACTCATTACCAACTCACTATCATATTAATCTCTAATCACGCTGTGTTTGTCTACCACGCTGTCTTCATTCCTTCTCTACCATCAGTAGACATTGGCATCTTCAAACTTGCATTTCAGCATTTCATTGAAAGCCAGTGATCTCGCAGACTAACCACACAGAAAGGCAATACCTTGTGTTGTCCACTCGCGTTATGGTAACCCAGGTCCACATTCCCAGATTAGATGCGATTGCCAGAGGGACCAAAGTAGCAGTATAAACCTCAGTCACTCACTATTTCCAGAGGAGACTGAAACCGCCCTCATGAGAAGATGATTAACCCTGGAGGAGCCTTGGTGAGCGCTGAGTCTCTTCTCGCATACTTGAGGAATTAAGGTACCAACCACCGTGCTTCTCTCAGTCTTTCATGAGCTTGTATGTCAGGGGCTGACGGGGCCTCCTCCTTGCTGCCTCTCCCCACTACCAAGAATGTGAAAGATGGCAGCTCTCGCTCTGCGGTGTAAGCCAGCACAGTGCATCGCTCCCCAGTGCAATGACCACGGCTAAGCAGCTGTACTCTGTACAGTTCTGGTTTGATCTCTTTAAAAACTATCCAGTAAGAAGCTGATGGAGGCCAATTCTATGGCGGGTGTGTCGACAACTCTGCTATTTGTTTCAGAAAGCTCTTTCAAGCTGAGGGCACTTGAGCAACTAACGGACTTAATTTCCAAGCATTTGATTAACACAACACTGCAAACAGAAGGGGGAAGTACAAGTGACACGATTTCCTTTGATCCAGGCTGTTTCTCCAGGGGCTTTGGGAAGCAATGTCCCCAGCTTCTTGGGCTCAAAACGCATCTGACTTACAAGGAGGCATGGCCACAGTGGTCTCCTGGGACTGGAGAGCAGAGAATTCAGAAAAGCAGCAGCAAAAGCCACATGGTGTTTTGCTGTGAGAACCAAACAGCTTGGAGAAGGAGAACAAAGGGCAGCGCTGTTTCTACAGACCCGCCTGCCTCTGCTCCAAACCTTTCAGGTCCACATTCCAAGAAACAAATAAATGCAAGCCTCACAGAGTTCAGTTTGATCCATGCTTACGTGTTCCCTTCCTTCAGTGTAAGTGCCCTATCTCTTTGTCACTGTTACAAATGAACAAGACAGCCACAGCATAGAAATGTGTACACATACTCCTTTATACATGCATATTCACACACACATACATACATATATACAATCCCAGGCTATTTTGCCAAGCAAAAAGTCAGACATTGTCACTAGACGTGGAACTGATATGAGCGAAATTAATACTACACTTGCCAGTTGTGAATAGACATCTGTGTGATCTCATGTCCTGCCAGGAACCAGATTCTGGGAACGTTCACTGATGTGCCAAAATCAAGCTGCAGATATGATCAGAAGCATGCACTGAGCTAGAACTAAAGGTTGGGCATCGACGTCTCTAGCCTGCCACCACACTCAGCTCCTGGAGCTGAGTTGGTCTCAGAAGTGGTGCGGGAAGCACGTGCATCACTTAGCTGTCCAATTGATGCTGTTTGTTACTTTGGAGTACAGTAATGGAACGGGGCCAAGGAGTACAGCGCTTCCAACAGACAAGCCAGTCCGCTCCTCACTTCCAGATGTGTTCTAAGCAAGGGGCTGCCCTCCCTTCGGCAAGCAGATCATCAGCACTTTGCACACCCCTCAAGGCTGCTCTCAGGGTCACTAAGGATGGAATTGTGTTCTGTTCCCTGCCACTGGATACTAGGAAGTGTCCTGGTGATTGCTTATTCCTGTCAGGATACAGAGTATAAAGCATGCTACAATCATCAGCCTCCCTTTTCTGGGACCCAGGAAACCAAGGGCATAAAGCCCAAGAAAAATGGGCAGCTGGGCATGCAAGTGACTCTTCTTCACAACACATACACCCCAACTTCTGCATCATCCAAGTCACTTTGGCCAATTAGATGACGGGTGTGTTGGTGGGGCCGGCTGCCTGGAACAGTCGCTGTTTCCCAACAACCTGAAGCAAACAGAAGAGCGAACGTTTATTAAAGACAACATCCACACTTACATATGCTCCCAGCATTACACATGGAGGGTGGGTGGATAAGGCCTGTTGCACAGATTGGTTCAGGGTGCCAATGGCGGGAGAGGGGAGGGGATACAGGCAGGAAAAAGAAACCAGTTGGAGCACCCAGTAGCTTGTTTTGAGTTTTCCTTGTGGATAGAAAACCAAATAATGCCTACAGGGGACAACTATCAGGCGAGAGGAGGTCAGCTGCGCGGCAGTCATCCCGAAGCCCTTTCCCTGCTCAAGACAGAGCTCATATATAGTCCACCAAAGTACTGCAAGGAAAGCGCCAGCGTGAGGCTAGAGCCAAGCGTGTATTTCCCTAGTTTAATGTCAAGTGCCTGATACAGTCATCTGCAAGTCTGAACAAGTGTGTTTAGTTTTTCTCATTCTTGTTTTAATTGGGGAGGGAGGGGTGGAGGGGAGTGCTTATGAAAACACGCGCACACATGCGTGGAGCAGCGCACCTGTTTTTGACTACAACTGTGCTCAGCTGAACAGAAGGAAGAGCAGGCTTTGCGTAGCCAAGGGCACCGGGCCTCTTCCTCCGAACACACTTCCTCCTGGTAGATGCCCCTGGCATGCTGGGCAGTTGGTCCCCGCCGTACAGCACGAGCTGTGCTTGAGTCTCTGGTAGCTGCACCACTGAGGCTGACTTTAGCATCTATTTCTCCATCAGTCCATTCAGTGTGTTCTCAGAAAAGCTCAGTTAGCAAGTTCTACGTACACTAGAAGAACCTTTACACCAGACGGTGGAGAACGCCAAGGGGGCAGCTGACCCAAAGGCACCTCCTCGTAGCCCTTGCCTCCAGAGTGGCTGGCAATTGATCCTGTCTGGCTGAGTGCCCATGCTCTGTGCCCCTGAGCCTGTGGGCACATCTAGTCCCTTCGCAGAAGGAGAGGGTAGCTTAGGATGAGAGAAGACCTGGTGAAGGGGATAACTGTCCCCAGTTGACCCTGAGTTCTCACCAGAGCCAGGAACATTGACTTGTTAGTACCTAGAAACAGCCCCAAGAAAAGTTTAGTCTCTTAGCAGAAGCAACATAACATTTTCTTGCTGGCAAAATGCATTTTATTTTTCTCCAGCAGTAAGAGCTTTTTGTTTGTTTTACATGAGCCCTAGACCTGGAAATTCTCAGAGGCAATTGCTTCCTATCCTATTATCCAAGGATTCCCTGTCTTCTTTTAAGGAAAGTAAGCTTGGGCAGTTTCAGTAAAACTTCACAGGTGTACAAGTAGGAAGACAATGTTTCTATAAAGATCTCATCTGAGGAGAGCTCTTAATGATCATTAAAAGCAAACAAATAAAAATGCTGGTCTCATTTCCCTGATTCTACATGAGAGAAGAGAAGTAAATGAAAGGAGGAAGAGGTGGGTTTGCAGTTGAAAGCTGAGGCAACCTGCTATCGCTGATCTGGAGCAATTTAGCTTTCAGGTGCGAAGCACGTGGCATCCAAGGGAAAGTGGAGTGGACTTCATTACGCATGATTGTCTTCACCCTGAAGCCAGTCAGCCAAGCTGATTGCCAGCAGTTGGAAAGAGATTTCTTTTTGTTTCTTTCAGTGGGGCCCTTTCAAGGCATGTAGTTGTTCCTCCCCGACGGGTGAATGAGGAAGGTTGCGGCTCCTCTACCACGCTGGAGGGGCTGCCTCCTACACTACTCGGCAGATTATCAGGATATCAGTGATAACAATGATAAGTAATAATAGCTGCCCTTGTGTTAGTTTAAGGGAGCATTTTTAATCATTTTGGGATTTTCTGTGACACGTGAAGTGCAGTTGTGAGGAATGTGTGGGTGTACGAAACGTGTCTGTCCAGTTCAGAGTCCTCTAGATTAAAAGATATATATATATATGACTTATCAATGGTGCCATTATAGCTGTGGGTGTGCCCATTTCACAATTATCCTTCAAGCAAATCTATGTTCAAATGCTTTAAAATTTATCACACATACAAGAGTATGACTTTGTCAGCATCTACAGTTCTTTTTCATTTTGTTTTCTTTCTTATTTTTTTCCTTCAAAAATCAATGAAGACTTGATTTCTGTCAATAATTGTATTAAGGGTGAATATACTACCTGGATTCTGTGCATGTGACATTGTAGTTGTAACCTTTTCTAATTCAGGATGAA